ATATGTTTAATTATTTATAAATTTTTTTCTTAAAAATATCACATCACTCATTTCTATTATTTAATATTTGATTAATTTGTAGTTAATATATTTTGAAAAAAAATTAATATAATGAAATTGATTTTTTGAATGCTTAAATTTTATATTTTATCGTGTCTTTAGGCACGAGTTATGACTATAATAAGATATGGTTCACGGAGGAAAATGCCACGTGGGTTGGGTCCATTTCGATTGCAAAAACCATTAAACTACAAAAGGCTTAGTGGAAGATCCAATTTTTGAAGGATTGATGATTAAAATATTAGAATAGATGAAAAATATTATTTGTACATAATTTGGGGATCTAATTTAATTCAATACAATTATTAGATTGAAAGTGAATTTTTTCTAACATTAAAATTGACAACTAATTCAATAATTGCATTAGATTAAATCCAAATTAAATTTCTAAATTAAGGCCTATAACATGGCTCCTTCAAGATTGGCTTAAAGCCCTCAAATATTCTCAAAAAATTATGCTGTTATTATAATCCCAAAAAATGATATACATCCTTTTAGCTTTTCCCACTATATATTCCCTGTATCAACCACCTACAAGAACCCCAATCAAAAACACTTTATTCTCTCTATCTCTCTCCAACATGCATTCTGCTTCTGCCTCTTCAACTCACCTCTTCCAGCAATCTCATGCACACTTCTACTCAAGAAGATTGCTACTAAAAAGTCGTCTTAACCAATTTCAAGCAACAGCAACTCCTCCATCAAGTGGAAATAGCAACAGTACCATATCAGATCCTTACCCTAACAGTTTTGAGGCCAATGTTGTAATGGGACTCTCTGTGCTTTTATGTGCCATGATTTGCTCACTGTTGTTGACTTATATCATCAGGTGTGCATTGAAGTGCTCGGGTTTAATATCCGGCCAGACCAGTGACAGGCCCACGGGCCGATTAGCAAACACGGGGATCAAGAAGAAGGTCCTGAATACTTTTCCTGTGGTAAGCTATTCGGCTTATCAGGTGAAGCAACCGGGCTTCGACACTGTTTGTGTGATATGTTTGTCGGAATTTTCTTCCGGTGAGCTCGTTCGAGTCCTTCCCAAGTGCAACCATGGCTTTCATGTCCTGTGTATTGATAGATGGCTTAATATACACTCCTCATGCCCTACTTGTAGGCACTGTTTGGTGGAGACATGTCAGAAGATTGTGGGCTCTAGCCAGGCTAGTACATCAGAGCCCCAGTCACCGCCACCGACACCACCACAGTCACCGTCACCGTCATCCCCGGAAAGCGTAATGAGGATTGGTCCACTAGAGCCTGAAGGTCTGTTACGAAAATGCCAAACATAACTTTAGTCGGCCGGATTGCTCCACTAGAGCCTCAGTGCGCCATTAACTTATTCCAGCTTGTTCTTGGTGGAGAATTTGAACTACCATGACTCGCTGGTCACTTACTCAGTTGTTGACAGTCATGTGGCCAAGTGGGATTTTGTAAATGTCTTTATATTGTACTCCAATTCCCACTCAATCCAACATCAAATCCTTGGGATTTTAACCAAAAAAATTTGAACAATACTATATCCAGTTATTGATTAGTTGTGATTAATCAATAACTTTAATTGATTGGGTCTTCAAATTAAATTTCTATTTTATATCCAAATTATTGTAAAACTAAAAAAATTTAGAGAATAGAATTATAAAGAGATTAAAGATGGTATATCAATGAGTAAGTGATTAAAGACTAATGCACTAATATGAACTAATTCCCATTTATTTGGAGTACTAATCGGAAGGTTAAGGGTCATCCATTATATATACAATATTATATTTAAAGTACTCCCCCTTGGATAACCACTATGCTAAGATAATATACCTCATTAAAATCTTGCTAGGAAAACCCTATGAAAAAAAAAACTCAGCAAAAGAAAAAGAGTACATCTTCAAATTAATTTTAGAATAATGTTAGACGCACTAATGTTGCCTCATTAAAACCTTGTTAGGAAAAGTCAACGGGACAAAACCTAGACAAAGAAAAATGGTAAAGTTTGACTAAATAGATCTTCAAGATTATCACTTAATTGTATCTATTTTACTTCAATTTCATAGCTCTGCTAGAGCTCGTGAGTGTAGAAAAACTTTGGTGAAATATATTTAGTTCTATCACATTTTTATAAACTCTCCTTTAATTTGTATAATACAAGCAACATTATCTTCAAATAAGGTTGATCGTGAATCTGTAATCAATAGGAGTTTGCAAGTATCTTGAATGTGATGGACTACAAACCTTAGTCACACACATTCCCGACTGGATTCATAGAATGTAAGTATCTCAAAATAATTAGAAAATGTAGCAACCACAGTTTGCTTAGTAGATTGTCATGTCACCACATGCGAAAACATACCTAGTTTGTAAACGAGCTATGTGATGATCTAATAGGTATCTACAATCCGCATAAACCGATTAAATTTGAACAATTGATTGATTGTTTTGAATATGAAAAGGCCAAATCTGTAGTTCAACTTTCAAGGAAGGTAGCATAGGATATGTTTTCGCCATTCTAATGTCGTCGTGTTGGTGCATAACTAAATATTGCCAATAAATTGATTGCAAATATTATATTAGACCTAGTACATTATGCTAAGTATGACAAAACACCAATTTCATTTAGGAATGCTATTTAAAGATCAAGAAGCATTTCATTTTTCTCCTTAGGACAAAAGAAGTCCTTGTTGACATCAAGAGATTAGACGACCATTGGAGTACTTAACGAATATGTTTTATCCATATTAAACTGCTTCAAGACTTTTTTGATATAGGTTTTTGATGGATAAGTTTTTCGTTTACGTTTGCTTGATCTGCAAGCCAAAACAATACTTTATTTTTTCGAGATTTGTCATCTCAAATTCTTTTTTCAAATATTCAGCAACTTTTATCAATTCTTCAAGAGTTCCAATCAAATTCATATCATCAAACATACACTACCATAATGACAAATCCATATTCTAATTTCTTAATAAATACATATGGGCATATGAGATTGTTAACATACCCTTCCTTTATCAAGTACTCACTGAAACTGTTATACCACATTTTTCCAAATTATTTCAATCCATATAAAGATTGTTTTAGCTTAATTGACTACATGTTTTGTGATTTTGATGTGTTTGCTTCAGGCAATTGCAATCCTTCAGGTATTTTCATATAAATATCAATATTTAACTTTCTGTATAAATATCGAGTAACAACATCCATAAGATGCATGTCGAGTCTCTATAAAACTACTAGACTAATAAGATAACGAAATGTAATTGCATCCATTACTAGTGAATATTTTTTCGTAATCAATCTTGGGTTTCTACAAGAACCCTTGAGCTATTAAATGTAGTACGAGTTGTATATTTACTTTTCACTTTTATATAAATATACATTTATATCCAATAGGATTTACATCTTAAAGTATTGCACTATGGATCCAATTTATCAACTTTCAATGTTTTACATCTACTGGTCTACATTTACATCTTTAGCCATATTGAACTGCGGGTCCAATATTTTGTATTTTGTTAATAGGTTCCAAGTGAATTGTTTTCTTCCACTTTGACCAATCATTTCTGTTTTGACAATCATATATTGTGGATGGTTCAAGATCATCACTATTTTAGATTTCAGTAGCTATTATATTATTGATGATAATTTTTTGGCAATCCCACACCTCACTTATGCATGCATACTTAATAGAAATTTCTTGATTTTGTAAGTATATATCTCTATAGGACTTTGTCTCTTCATGGAATTTCCTCTTCGGTGGTTATTATTTGAGATGATGTGGGTGGATTTTATTTTCTACTTCATCAACTTTTTCTTGAGTTATATGTAGTTGCCGTTCAGGAGCTGAATCTTTTGAACCTATGCATCAACCACGCTCCAAGTGAGTGAGACAGTTCACGTCATTCTTTAGGCGAGAGATTTCCTCCCCCTAACAGCAGGAATAGTGTCTCATTTTTTGTTATCTTCTGCTTAGGGTTTTTGCATTTTTGCAGAGAAGAACACCCACCATCCAACAATGATGGGTGGCGTTGAAGATTTGATTATGAGGAATCCGAGTAAGGTATGGCCAAAAATTCCTATGCTTTCTTAAATTTGACAGATTTTGTGTTGATTTTGTTTTGCTAGACATTATGTGAATTTGGCAAATTTGCTGGATTTGGTAAATGTGGAATTGGTGGATTAGAAAATTCTAAGAGGTTCACGTGATAGTTCATGTGAAATTCAGCGACTTTGTGGAATTGGAGACTTCTTTAATTTTTTATATTTTCATGCTTCCTTCATTGCTGAAAAATGGTCCCAGTGGTCCTATCCTTTGGAAGGACATCATTGTTTTTTTTTATTTTTTATTGTAAGGCAAAATTTTAGCTTTCTTCAATTATATTGCCAATGTTAGAATTAGCAGTTGACTAGCCATAGATGGGTTTGAAGATTAAAATTTGGATGTGTTTTGAGGTCTTTATTTGTCTAGGCACTATTGATTATTGTATTGAGGCAATGGGAAAGTGTGCATATGACACCATTACTAGATAGTTAGTTTCCATTCCAGGTAATTGTGTATGGCTTGTTTTCTTTTTGATTTTTCCAAACCTTAGGCATCCTTATGTTATTTTAAATTAAAGAGTTGTGCTAATGATGGTAGTGTTTAATGTCTTTGCCAGGTTCTGATAAACTATAACTTCCCTATGACCACAAAGGATTATATTCACATGATTGAAATGATTAGGTTGTTATCCAGTACCCTGTACATAGTGGCGTGGAATAGTTTTTTGCGAGTAGGATGAGAAATATGTCGTAAATATGTACACTATTATAGAAGGTATGATGACATAGACAATTTATCTTTTTTGTTTTTGTTGCGAGGGGGATGCCCCAAGTATTTTGTATTTCCTCTTTCAATGAAATTATGTTTGTATACACTTCGTGATGTTGATAGTTATATATGAAATTTGTTTTAATGTCAATCAATATGTCATTTGATTTTGATCTTTCGTGATGATTAAAGAAATATGGAATTCCACACCCTTAAGGGTGGTGTGTTATCATATATATAAGAAGAATACATTGTAGAATTACAAAACTATTCCTAATGTATAACACATGTGATATTTGTCTAATACACCCCCACAAGCTATGCATGGGATGGAAGCACGCATAGATTGGCTTGAAACTCCTTAAACTTAGCAGCAGACAAGCTCTTAGTAAATATATCCGCCAATTGATCATGAGTCGATATATGAAGAACTTGAACTTGACCCCAAGCAACACGTTCACGAATAAAGTGAATGTCCACTTTAATATGCTTTGTGCGAGCATGTTGAACAGGATTAATATCCAAGTATGTAGCACTGATGTTGTCACAGTAAACAATTATGGGTTTCTTAAGTGAAATATGTAAATCTCAGAACAGAGATTGTAACCAGCAAGTGTCAGCAACAACATATGCAACAGATCGATGTTCTGCCTTAGCACTAGACCTAGAAATGGTTGGTTGTTTCATGGCTCTCCAAGATACAAGATTTGAACAAAGAAAAACACAATAACCGGTAGTGGAACGACGAGAGTCTGGATAGCTTGCCCAATCAGCATCTGAATAGACTAGAATCTGATCACAGTTACTTTTATATAATTGAAGTCCAAAATGCATCGTGCCTTTAAGATAACACAAAATGCATTTGACCTCTATGAAATGGGACTCACAGGGATCAAGCATATGCTGCCAAACTTGATGAACAACAAAAGCAATGTTTGGGCTAGTGAAAGTCAAATATTGTAGAGCACTAACCAGACTACGATAAAAGGTTGGCTTGGAATAGACGGGGTCAGTAGAGGAAAGAGCATAGGATTTTCTGGCTAGGGGAGTACTGGCTGGTTTAACTTTTAGGAGATCACTCTTGGTTAAAAGATCAAGAATATATTTGGATTGGTGGAGAAAATACCCATCAGAATTGGAAGTGACTATAACACCAAGAAAGTGATGTATGAGACCCAGATCAGTCATGAAAAATTCAAATTTGNACGTGATAGTTCATGTGAAATTCAGCGACTTTGTGGAATTGGAGACTTCTTTAATTTTTTATATTTTCATGCTTCCTTCATTGCTGAAAAATGGTCCCAGTGGTCCTATCCTTTGGAAGGACATCATTGTTTTTTTTTATTTTTTATTGTAAGGCAAAATTTTAGCTTTCTTCAATTATATTGCCAATGTTAGAATTAGCAGTTGACTAGCCATAGATGGGTTTGAAGATGAAAATTTGGATGTGTTTTGAGGTCTTTATTTGTCTAGGCACTATTGATTATTGTA